TTTCTTATTCTCCATCTAACTCTCAAATGAACTTTAAAAATAATCCAGAAACACAGAATGAATCTGATTCGATGTCAGATGAAGAATACGAAGACTCTCAAAATAATAAACACCCATGGCAAACAATAAGATCAAAAAGAAAAAGGCTTAAACGTCAAGATTTAAAAAAAAAGAAGCTTCAATCACACTCTCAAATAGGTTTCAGCCACTTCCACAAGAAAACTCCGTAAATACTACGAATAAAAATCCACCAATCTCAAAACCCCCTCTAATTTTTATATATGGAGTGAATGACTATAGTAAAATGATAGATAATTTAGCTTAACTTAAGCAATAAAAGTAGAAACTTACTTTACTAAAGCCTTAACAAACAACACAATAAAATTTTTAATAAAGACACCTGCATCCTACAGAAAACTAATACATCACGTACGAGAGGAAAATATAGTCCACCATACATACCAACCTAAGGAAGATAGAGCATGCAGAGCAGTTATTCGAGATCTACATCACTCTTTTCCAATAGATGAAATAAAATTGGAAATCCAGAAAAAGGGTCGTAAGGTAAGGAACGTTACAAATATCAGACACGGATTGAGCCGTAAACCATTACCATTATTTGTTGTGGACCTCGAGCGTCAAACGAACAACAAAGAAATATTTTAACTATAGTATATACAACATTGTAAAATAAGAGTAGAACCACCGAGAATTAAAAGAAATATACCACCATGTACACGATGTCAAAAATATGGTCACGCTAGAACGTACTGTGCAAAATCATATAATTGCGTAAAATGCGCTAGTTCACACAACACAAATGACTGTAAAAAACCAAAAAACACGTCAGCAACTTGCACTTACTGTAACGGAGACCACGCATGCTTTCAATTACAGAGGATATTCTGTTTATCACGAACTGCTAAATGTCAGATACCATGACAAATCAAAATAAATCACCACTTAAAATCCTGTTAACAATCCCAATGTAAATAAATATACCTACACAACATCATGCTCATAATTTCAACAGAATCTCTAATTAGAGAGGATGTTCTGTTTATCGCGCATTACTAAATGTCATATATCATGACAAATTAAAAGAAATCATCACTTAAAATCCTGTCAACAATCCCAATGTAAATATACCTACCCAACATCATGTGCATAATTTCAACAGAATCATTTATAGAGATGCTACCATTGGAAACATAAATGCAGATAACAAAAATAACAACGAATTAGCAGATAAACTGTCAAATTCTCTAAGCGAATTTAAAAATATGTTCTCTCAACTCTTAAACCAAAATAGCATGATTTTAACCATGTTAACTACAGTCATTAACAAAATAACAAAATGGCTTTCAATTCACTACGAATTGTATCGTGGATCACTAATGGCATTTCAAACCATATACTAGAGATATCACTGTTTTGAAACATGTATAATATAGACATTCTATTAATATTAGAAAGCTATGCCACACAAAGAACGGTTATTAAGATACCTTACTTTACTGTGTATTGTGCAAACCATCCAGACGGAGGAGCACATGCAGATTCTTCCGTTATTATTAGATCAAAAATTAAACCCTACGCAGTCCAACCTTATATTATGGAAAAAAATCAAGCAGCAATAAACACCGAAGCAGAAACAAACACCTCCCTCACTGTATAATCAGTCTACAGTCCACCTAGACATCCAATTTCAAGCGAAGAGTATCATGATTTCATACAAACTCTTTCAAAAATATATTCTGATTAAAATTATACCTAAAGGCCGAGGCCATCCAATAAAATAACTTAAGATACGGAAAGATTACGGAAGAACCCACATACTGGCCTACGGATTCCAAAAAAATTCCAGATTTGGTAGATTTTGCTGTAACAAAAGAGATATCTGACATCCATAGTGGAATAGAGTCAAACTTCAATTTGACATCAGATTACAGTAAAATAATAATAACATTAAGTACACACATAATATGGATAACACCACCATCCAAAATCACAACTAAAGAAACAAACTTGGATGTTTTCCAAAATTTTGTAAATACAAAGAATAGACTAGATATTAGGATAAAAGAAAACCAAGATGTAGAGAAAGCAGTAGACTATTTAACAACAGTTTTACAAACAACAGGATGTGAAACAACACCACAGCACCAAAGATGTGTTAAAGAAATCCATAATATTGCCCACCATATTAGAGAACTGGTAGCACAAAAAAGAAGAGTTCGACGCATATGGCAAAAAACAAGAAATCCACTAAATAAAATGCACCTTAACAGGATAAGTCATAGACTAAGTAGAGCATTACATGAAGAAAAAAACGACTCTTTCCAGTTTTATGTTTCGAACCTCTCACATTAAGATCACTATATATGAAAAGCTACAAAAAAGTTTAAACGACCGACAATAAGAAACTCACCTTTAAGAAAAACAGATATGACTTGGGCCCGCACAAACGCAGAAAAAAAACAAAAGTATTCGCAGAGCATCTTGCAACTGTATTCGCAGCACCAGATACTAATAACGATGAAGATGATGATATAAGAATGTACCTCGAAACTCCATGTCAACCATCTCTTCCTCTGACAACATTTACTCCGACAGAGGTTCGACAACAAATAAAAATGCATAATCTTAAGAAAGCTCCTGACTATGATATGACAACAGGAGAATTACTTCAGAATCCACCGAGAAAATCAGTGGTGTTATTAACAATAATATACAATAGCATACTACATCTTTGATACTTTCCAATACAATGAAAATTTGCTTAAGTTACTATGATTTAGAGACCTGGTAAGCCAGCAACGCAAGCAAATTCATATCGTACTATAAGTCTACTCTCAATAATGTCGAAAGTGTTAGAAAGGCTATTGTTACATAAAATCACGTTCAGTCAAGAACATTCAACTATCCAACACTGCCAGAGAATAGTAAACATAATTAAAACAACTTTCGAAGAGAAAAAGTTTTGCGCTGGAGTGTTTCTAAATATACGACAGGCGTTTGATAGAGTATGGCATAAAGATCTCCTCTACAAACTGAAATTACACCTAACAGACCTTACTGACCGTTACTTTCAAGTCAAAATTGAAGACAACTATAGACGTTTTTATATTTCTTTGCGTGTGCGTGTAAAAACACTTGCAATAAGTTGTTTCATCTGTCTTTCCTTGTCTAAGCTCGATTCGTTTACCTCCTCCAGTGGAAGCTATCTGTATTCGTAAAGAGGCCGAACTTATCATCGACACCGTATCGGCCAAACGTATATGTGTTATTGCTACAATACTTTTTTTTGGGAGGTGCGAATCTTCAAAAGACCGTCAGGGAAGGTGTCCCTGGTGTGTCGGTGCCGAAACCGCCTACCCACTAAACTCAGCTCCTCTTCCTCCAGCCAGCGGGTCTGGAACCGCTCTTAGCGAGCATGTCTGACCCGTCGACCTTACTCATAGCTCCCCCTAACACCCCTAGCGTGAATTCCATGGATTAGTCAGCTTCACAGATGCCTTCTCCGCACAGCGAAGTGACCGAGGACGGGAAAGAGGGCGGTCGGGACGCTTCCCAACCTTCGACATTTGACGACGCTTCGTTCTACATTCATCTATTCACTCTTTCTCATCCACCCATTTATCTATACTTAGTCTCATTTAACTCCAGTCATTCCTTACTTTCATCTAGACACACCTACTCATCCATCCATTCATTCTAACATTTAGCTGGGACAGTCTGTGTAGGTCGGATGTAAAAGGTCCTTCCCTACTGACTGTCCACAAACGAAACATGACATAGTTTAGAGTAATAGAGAAAGAAAAAAAAAGAAATAGAAAGAGAGAAAGAGGAGGAAGGATGAAATGAAAGATAGAAAAGAAGCCAAAGAAAGAAGAAAGAAAAAATAGAGAACATTAACAGGAAAAAGAAATTGAAAGTAAAATTTTTCAGCAAACAATAAGGTATAAATAAAATCAAATCAAGAATCAAACAACTATAAAGTAAATAAATATATAAAACTATGATAAAATAAATAAATAAGTAAAACCGTGTAAAAATAAAATAGGATAAATTAAAATTAGACAGTCAGTGTGGTTTGGGTGTATAGGGTTCTCCCTCCACTGGCTGCCTTTTACGAGACAAGACACGTTAAAAGATAAATATACGGTTATCCTGTCTGCATTCGCCTCTCTTTTTCTTCTTTATGCTTTATTGTCTGTGTGACAAAGGCAATGATCAGGTCGAAGTCATGCTTGCTGTCGATAGCTTTATCAATTAGCTCGAGAGGCTAGCCTAGGGGGGATCCCAGGCCCAGCTGCAGCCCAACGTTAAAAACCATAAAATCTAAAATAAATAAATAAATAAATAAATGTAAATAAAACAAATAAATACGGTATATGGATAAAATATGTATAAATAAAAACATTCAATAAATAAAAATAGTTTAGTAAAATTGGAATAATTAAAATAAATAAAATAAACTTCGTGGATATAAAATAACACCTAGGTGGGCTGTATATGGGTCCACCTTCACTTTCCAAAAAGTCTATTTTATATTTTTTTGGCGTATTTTATGAGTTCCCCTCTCTTCTCCTGCCGTATACAATGGCTCGCCATCCTGTCCATTCTGTCCATCCTATGCCCTTCTTCTTTGCACACCGAGCAGTACGGTTTGCTGGTACAGTTTGCGACCGTATTCCCCGTTTTTAAACAATTATAGCAGCACGCCGCCCTGCTCTCTTCTTTGCATTCGTATGTATTGTGCCCGAACTTTAGGCACTTATAGCATCTAATTGGGTTGTGTCTCTTCATTATTGGACACCCAACCCATCCTATTTTTATTGAGCTGTACCTCCTCAGCTCTTCTGCTCTGGAGGGGCGTACGGCTATCGTAGCCACCTGTTCCCCATATCTGTTGACTCTTAGGGCCTTAACTTCTATATCTCCCTCCGCGACGCCTGTATAGCTCTTTATTGCTTTTTTAAACTTTTTTCACTCACCCCAGGGTCCAAACTCGTAATCGTGAAGAAAGTCTCATTTCTTCGGATTGCCGTGTCCATCGTTCATTTTGCTGTTTAGTTCGCCTCAACTTCGCCGCAGCCCCTATCCCATTTAATTTTACAAGTAGATCTCCCCCATTCGTTCTTTTTAGCTTGTCCACTTGTACCCTGATCTTTCCAATATCGATTTTCTCTCTCATTTCGCTAAGAGCTTCGTTAAATTTCTTTTCTTCCATCTTTATGAGTAGAGCTTCCTCTTGTTCCACTCTCCTCTCTGCACCGAATTCCTTCCCTCTTACTAAAATCTCCCAGGATATACTATCTCTATGCCCTTCATATTCGAGAGCTTTCCTTAAGGTTTCCTTATTTAGGTCGTTTGCGACTACAACCCGCATGACCTCTGGGATTTCGTTCATTTCTTTCCTTATGTCCTTTATAGCCTTTTCTGCCATATCGTATGCATCTTCCCCCCGCTCTTTGTCTAATCTGGCAACGAAAGTATACCATATTGTTTTTTTATTTGCTTTTCTTCTAGTGTTCTCTAGGTAATTTATTTCTCCCTCTTCTATTTCTTCTAGCATCTCCGCTAGATCCTTCCCTACATCTTTAATGATGTTTTCCACACCTTTATCTTTCGCTTCCGTTTTTGTAAATATTATACAGTTCTTTTTTCTATTGTTTCTAGTAGCCCCGCTTGTTCCCACTTTGTCTTTAGATATACTTTCTCTTTCCATTTACTGTCGCATATACACATAAATGTTTTTTTTCCCTTTTCCCATATTTAATGCCCTTTTGATTTTTTCTTGTTCTTGTTTCTGCTTTTCCTGTTCCTCTTTTAGTTTATAATGGTCACATTTTAATTCGTGTTTGGTTTTCTCGGTTATCCTATTATTATCCCTTTTGTTGTTTGTGGATTTTATAATCCCTATCAATTTTTTTAAATCGGTGTCCACGTCCAGCTTTTTTCCCTGTTCGCTAAATTTGTTAAATATTTCTTCGAGTTTCGTACTTTATTCCTCTAATTTCCTGTTTATTTTTTCTTGTTTTGTTTTATTTGGAAACCTTATACTTTCCTCCAGCCATTCCCTCTTGAGGTCATTTATCCTCTCCATGCTTTCGGCTTTTCTTTTCTTTATGTTTATCGTCTCCTTCTCCTCTTCTTCGTCAAACAATATATTGGTCAGCGCACTCCCCTCGATATTCTGCCATATATCTTTAATTGTTTCAGCTTTTTCCTGTGGTTGTTCTTCCACTATCTTTTTCTCATCGTTCTCACTATCTGTAATTTCGTCTTCTACTAATGTCGACTACTTTGCAACAGTCGATCTATTCAGTTTTTGTTGTTGCTTATGTCTTCTTATAAGTTCCCTCTCAAAACTATTCATCATCTCTCCTTCTAATTCTGTTTTCAAGTCGTCATGCGACTGTTCCTCCCTACTTTTTTTTATTTCCTTTGCATTGTTTATATTGTCTTGCCGATGGTTTCCCCGTCTGTTTTAAATTTTTTATTTTACTCATAAATGGTCCCACGAGTCGGGACGTGCTATACGTCTGGCTCGGCAGTGCGCCCTTACCGCACTAAGGCTTCGATACTTCGAGAGGTCGCCAGGTATCCCGAAGGGATCGTTTTTGATGCTCTAACCCTCGCGTCTCTCATATCTTTGGCAGGATGCCTTCCACCGTGATAGTGGGGATTTTTTATTGAAGTTTACTCCTCTAGGCTTTTTTCACGGTTGCCTCCGGACTCAGTGGCAGTCTATTTGAGCAGTCTGCTTAGAATTTCTACAAAACTGCTGCCTCCCCTATTACGTGGGAATTGGAACAGGACGTGTAATGGAAAAGGTAACCGGTGGGGTAAACGTGTCTGCTACTCATATGGAATGTGATGGAAGAATGTGTTTTTTTTCTTTTTTTTATGAGGTGGACGAGATTGAAAATTGGGATTGAGTAGCCATGGGAGAGTTGGTAGGTACTTGTGTTGCTGAAGGCGAAAAAAGCGTCGCATCTGCTCGTTCCAGTTGCGACGCCATTTATTGTATTGTATTGTATTGCCCAGTATTGCTACAATACTGGGAGGCGTGAGTGATCTCTTCATTTCCTTCTCATCGCACTTTACCACGACAAACGTGACTCGCACAATTGAATTACGCATCTGTGTATGAGAGAGAGACGAATATTAAAAATTCCGTAGTAGCTTATTTCAGGCACACGCCAAGAATGATGAAACCGAGTTTACTCAAATTACCACATCATACAATCTGACGTACCTCAGGGTAGCGTTTTGGGCCCATTTCATTGGGTATCTGATATTTACAGCAGGCAATCCAACTCAATTATACCTTCTTAGCTACATTTGCCAATGACGGGAATCTTGGCAGTAGATATAGACAATAATGTAGCATCACAAAAAGTACAGAATCATTTGGATCAATTACAAAATTGGCTTAAGCGATGGAAGATCAGTGTTAATGCTAGCAAATCAGTACAAATTTATTTTACAAGACAATCTACATATCCACTAGTTTATATTAATAATACCCCAATTCCTATAAAACCAGTTGTCAAATATTTGGGATTGCACCTAGATAAAAAACTTTCATGGACGACGCACATTAAAACTAAACGGAAAAAACTAGATCTTAAACTAAAGAAATATGAAATAAAATAAAAAAAATAAATAAAAAAATATGACTGTGCCCTAAGTGCCTTTTAGAAAATATATTCTACTTTCATACTATTATACTATATGTACTATAATCTTACTCTTTTCTGAGATACAGGTATAAATATGGATTTTAAATTTCGCAATGATTTTTTATAATTTCTTTTTAATTATTTTCTTGTAGCGTTATTTCACTGTTCAATAGGTTTTCACATTTTGTTTGACGTTTGACGATCTTCGAATCGATGTCATTTTTCGAAAAACTATAAAATTGTGACAACAAATTGCTATATAAAAGTACCAGGCAATATTCTCATGCTGTGAGCTTTGCTGCTCTGTTCTTTTTTATAGATGTCTCCTCTATTTTTATTCACAATTCTTTAATTTTTTTACTGCTTCGGCCATTTTTAATTTATTGTCAATATTTTTGAGGTGTGTTTCCTTGAATGACCATGTTTAAGGTTAGTAAGTTTGATTAAATGAAATTGACATTAATTTGATAGTTTCCATTTTATGTGTACCTACCTACTGATGGTATATGACTAGCATCTGTTGGTACTATAATATCAATTTCAACATATGGAAGTGAGAGCATTCTCCTGTTAGTGTAATTATTAGGATATACGGTATTTTTTCTAATACACCTAGAACGATTGAGTGAATATAGGTGAACTATCAAATAGGAGACTATTAAAAGAGACTATCATAGTGTGGAATTAAAAAAACTTAATAAATCGTCGATCAATTATTCACTATTAGGCAGTTAATGAGACATGTTGGGAAAACAAAAAAACATTAAAAAAACTAGTTACTTATAGGTTTTAAACAAATACATGATATAATCATAAGAATAAAACTATGAAATACCATCGCAGAACTAGGCTACTAAGAAATTAATTCATTTAACAAGGTGTATTCTACATAAAAAATAAGACTTTAAGGAAAACTGTCGACTTATTTTTAAATGTTCATTGATTTCAAACAGGAAGATTACATTCCAAACTCTACAATATTTAAAAAGTAAAATCAATAAACAAATAATATATACCTACATAAAGATTATAAAATCCCAAATATTTAAAAACTAAAATTGCGTGGTCAAGAAAAACTAGTCATGACCCAAAGTGCTTTAACAAAGGTGAATAAATTAGCATAACAGCTGTTTTGGAAAATAAATATTATGAGACGAATTGGGATATTGTATTACACAAACTAAACCGCTTATCTACAAAAAGAATCAGGAAAATATGATATGAAAATATCAATGCAAAGCAATTCGTATGATTTTGTATATAAAACAAATAATATTATATTATAAATTATACCTATATAGATACAAATAGTAAAACAAAAATATATAAACGTAAAATGTTCCACTAAACGTTAACGATAAAAGTTCCAAATAAAGGTTAAAACATACTTTTCAATTCGCGGTAACACAAAATAAATTGGTAACAAAATTCATATACCAGTAAATGGTACTCGATACAGCAGCGAAATAATTTTGGCAACAGATATGTAGGCTGAACTTACCTCTTGATATACAACAACCACAAAAGAGTCGGCGATAGCGCAAAGGGCAGCTACCCCTTAACCAAGACAAGGATCTACAGACCGAGAGTTTGGTACAAATTGCGGCTTCGCGCAATCGTACTTGTAAAGTCGACTGGAGTTACAATTTGCCAAATTTAAATGTAATCGTTTCGATTAATGTTATAATGTATAATATATTAAAGTTTTTAATATTATTTTTTAATATTAATAATAATATTAAGTAATTAAATATTGCGCCTTGCTTAAAAAAAGTACGAGATAAATAACTCTTTTTTTATATGAAAGTGCAATTTTCTTGCATATGCTTGGTTTTTTTGATAAGATAATACAAATTGTATGAAGAATAGCTAAGCGTTGGGTAGTAAGTGGCGAATCTACGAGGAGGGAAAAAGGATTTTCTGAATTTGTCAATACTTTGACTGAACATAGAACCAAGAGAGGATGGAATGTTGTCAGACCATTAACAATATTGAAATATAACCAGTACGTGACAGGAAGCGATGTAGAATATGTTGTATTGATTACATTTAAAAAAACACAATTTACGAGTGTGCTAATTGTGACAAAAAAGCCTGGACTATGCATAGGATATTATTTTCGCAAATACCATTCAACCAACAGATAGATTGCATTCAGTATATTAGTTTAAATAAAAATTTTATTTTCTAAAGACCTTTTAATTTTTAGCTGATGTCTCACTAAAAATTTCTAATTTGAAAATATTAATATCTTAAAAACTTCCACAGATGTTAGGGATAATAAATTGAAATCCTTTAACAAAAGGCTATAGCTATAATTTGAATAAGCTGGTTTTGCCCATACTGACTTTCTAATTACCTACTAATTTGCATAACAGTCAGATATTGTACCTGGTCACAATGCTGTTTAATATTAGGACTTTTATTTCGCTTGTTGAAACTTCATCCGATATTAATTTCTTGGAAATTTTTATAAGGCTGAGAGTACTAAATCGGAATATTCGAGTATTGTTGAAAAAAATTGAAATTGAAGGTACTACAC